TCCTCTGTAAATACCACACAGTGCGTGCGCGCGTTCGCCCAGAAACTCCTAGTTCTAATGAAGTCTGCACGGGCGCGGCGGGGATGCAAGCGAACAGAGATGGGTGTGTCTATTTTTATGGGGATATTCTCGCCTCTCGTAGGTTATTGATGATGAGGATTCAGAAGAACTCCCTATTCTCTCATTAAGTGGAATATGAGTGAAGACTTATCAAAGTCGGAGCACGGGAGGGATGCAAGAGGGAGGCGGGAGAGAGAGGGGAGTGAGGTGGGCGAGGGAGGGGTATGAAATGGGAGATGGAGTGGAGTGAGATGAGAGGAAGATAGGGTTGCAGTTGGGAAGGAGACGTGGAGTGAGTTTGGAAGAAGAGGAAGAGGAACGCGGGAGGATGAGGGAAAGTAAGATAGGAGGAAGAGAGAGAGAGTGAGTTATGAACGAGACGGGATTACTAACCTCACACGATCATCAGCGCGTGTTACGTTGCTGTCAGAATGCGCTGCGCTTCGGGTTTGCCTCGAGCTATCTCGCTCGCTCTTTCTCTCTCGAATTTCCCATCTCTCGAATTTCTTCAATCATGCGCGCGCTCTATCTTTTTCGCTCTCTGTCTCTCTATCTCTCTCTCTCTCTCTCTCTCTCTCTTCCGCTTTCTCTCTCTCTCTCTCCCGGTCCCGCGCCCACGCACGCATGCTTATCATATTTCATATTCTTGAGCTCTTCTATATCCATAACCTCCCTCTATACTTGCCTCACCCACTATCTCATTCGGTGTCTTTCTTTCGCTCGCTCACTTTCTCTGGCGATCTCTCTTTCTCCCTCTCGTTCGTTCTATTTTTTATTCCTTTTTTCAATCTCTCTCGCTCTCTCTCTCTCTCTTTTTCTCTGTTACAACTCTCCTCCCCTCTTTTCTTTCTCTCTCTCGCGCGCTCTTGCAACTTCATCTATTCATCTATTCATCTCTCTATAGTATCTCCATCTATCCTCATCTCTCTTCCACCCTCCTTCTCTTCTACCCTTGTCTCTTTCACGAAAAATAATAAAATTCAACCTGATTTAACTGCGGCGCTGGTGACCTATGTTTTACATGATTACAAGGCATCGCTGCAAGTCAAAGCGCGCTGACGGCTCTGTCACGTCAGTCGCAACCTCTTCATCAAACGCTCTCAACGACTACATACACATGCATATATTAGCTAGATCAATTGTATGGAGATTGCCCATCTTCCTCGTCTTCGCCAACTTACGAGCAGAAATAGAATCAAGCCAGCGCGGTGTCGGTGGGAATAGAATGGGAGATGGGGGGGGGTAGAAAGGGAGATGGTACGTGGGCGGTGATAGCGGAACCGGCTCGCTGAAAGGTTGGGTGGATGTACTGATCGAGCGGGGAAGTGTTGAAGCCAAGTCAATTCACGATTGTTTACTGTGGCCAATATTATAAAAAACACAAACACGCACACGTGTCTCCGTGCGTGCGTTCGTGCGTGCGTGCGTGCGTGCGTGCGTGCGCGTGCGTCTGTGTATTATCATGCAAAGCTCTTCGCACATATTTCTAGATAGCAGAAAATTGCCAAGTGAATTTCCCAATGAATGCATTGAGATATTGTGAAAATGAAAAACAACTGGCGTTGTTAGGCTTGTTTGCATTTATAAAATATTTGATGATGACATAACGGACATTCTCAGTTCCAATATATTCAGAGTTTTCCATTTTTCCCAAAAAAATGTTTTAAACGTTGTGTGTGCGTTAAATGCTGTGAATAAGTATGTTCACAGGTAAACATCTTTATGTGTTTTGTAAGGTCACAGTACTACATCTTCATTTAAAATTCGCCCCCCCCCACCTCTCTCTCTTTCTTTCTCCTTGCTCTCCCCCTCTCTCTCTCTCTCTCTCTCTCTCTCTCTATCTCTCATTCTCTCCCACTATATCTCTCTGTCACTCTCTCTTTCTCTCTCGCTCTCTTATTATCTCTTTCTCTCTCGCTCTCTTATTATCTCTTTCTCTCCCGCTCTCTTTTTATCTCTTTCTCTCCCGCTCTCTTATTATCTCTCTCTCTCTCTCTCTCTCTCTCTCTCTCTCGTAGAGGAAGAGAGGACGGTTAATGAACGAGACGGGATTACTAACCTCACACGATCATCGTTATGACGAGATACTGCGAGCTACATATCTACCTATCTACATACCTACATATCTACCTATCTACTACCAATCTACATACCTACCTATCTACATACCTACATATCTACCTATCTACATACCTACCTATCTACCTAAAACTTCACTAGCCCCTCAGATCTACTCATCGACACCTATCTAATACCTACCTATACTACCTATCTACCACCTAAAAATCTACATACCTACCTATCTTACCTTTCTGCTATGTCACGTCGCATTGCTTGCACCATCCATCATCGTTTGGGAAGAGATTGGGTAGAGACAATCATTGTTAGGTAATGAAAGAGAGAGGGAGAGGGAGGGAAGGAGAGGGGGATACAGCGAGAGAGAGCAGAGAGAGAAGAGAAGCAGAGGAAGATGAGAGACGAACGAGACGAGCAACGAGAGAGGAGGAGGGAGAGGGAGGGGTATTGAGAAAGAGGCGGAGGAGGGAGGGCGAGTGAGAGAGAAGAGATTAGGGTGGAAGGGAGGTCGAGATAGGGAGATTAGAGAGGGAGCGGAGAGAGAAGAGAGATAGATAGAGAGAGAGAGGAGAAGAGGAGAGAGAGGGAGAGAGGGAGAGGGAGGGAGGCAGAGAGGGAGGGAGGGAGAGGGGGGGAGTAAGCAGGAGAGAGAGAGAGAGAGGACGAGACAGAGGCGGGGATGGAGGAGGGGAGAGAGAGAGAGATGCAGTCACTTGCATCATCACACACCTGATCACAAAGCAGCTCAACAAGTACATTAACAGTAACGTGTACCTATAAAGTATATTATAATGTACAATAAGTTAATGTACACCCGATCTCAAACATATCATGTATTTTGAACAAATAGTGTTATTGTGCCCGTACAGATATGTGCTGATCTGTAAATCATTACATTACTCTGTAGCCTTCGTTATAGCACCATAAAGCCAATAGACGAACAGAGAAAGACAACAACAAAACCAAACACCACCAACAGAAATCCACAATAACATCAGTTATGGAGCAATACCCGAGTAATCAGTCAAAATAACCAACTAAGTAACTAGTGACACAAGTTGCAAAACGTAACATCATGTTACATTAACAGAGATGCTTATGGAATGATTGTATTTAAGGCCAAAACAAAATATAGTGTTGCCGTTAGCGGTTCGTGACCGATCCCTATTTATTCCCAGCCGAGCCCTTAACATTATTGTCAATTAAATTCTTTAAAGTAAAAAAAAAAATTATATAATAAACAAAGTTAAAAAAATATAGGAATTGGACAGTTCCTGCTTCAAAAGGCACAACGACCACATCCTACTTGGATCATGC